TATATATATATATATATATAAAAGACTGAGATGAGATTTACTGACTAGACAGGACGTAACGCATCGCTAAGAGGTGAACACAGAAGTGCTCTTAGATGAGACCTGGGTTGTCTTGGTTCGTCTACTTTATCCCACTCTCTTTGTGCCTCTGGGAAACGGATTCGATAATAACAGAATTTGTCAGAACAAGCACCTTCAAAGGGCTAGTGGGCTGCAGGGAAAGGGATGCGTTTGGTAGGCAGTTGCTTCCTGAAGAGGGTATCATTGATCACATTTGTACGACACATTTGCGTTTTGGTTTTGTATTTGCTTATATATAAACAAACAAAAAAAAACATCTCAAAGGATACTCACACTCAGTTCTTACTGGTCTTTCAGGGTTGTGACCACGAAGATTCACTTTTTATAGTTCCTACATCTCCGTATTATTTGAAATTTTTATATAGAGCTAGAATTACTTTTATTATCAGGGAAAAAAAAAATTGTGGAAAAAGGCCACAAAAACGCTTGGAGATTTCACATTCGAAACCCAGGCCCCGACTCATGCCAGTGTGGCCAGATCCCAAGAAGCACGGGGTCCGGGGGTGGATGGGACCACCGGGGCCACCCCAAGGTGAGGATAAATCACACTGCTTCCCGACTCCCTCTCCACCAACTTTTCTCTGCCTGAGAAATAGTATCGAGATAATAAAAGAGGCAGCATTGAAAGGAAAGAAGTCATTTTGAGCTGGTAGGGGAGAAAAGAGAGTGGAGAAGGCCCTTTCATTGGCCACGTGGTGCATGGAACCGACGATGGGATAATGGCCTGAACTCCCCTAAGTCTCCGAGGCCATTTCTCTCTAGGCCCACTTGTGGGCGACGGGGTTCCCAGGGAAACGCTACAAGGCGGTCCACGAAAAGCAAGCCCTTTCTCCAATTGTGAGGGCAAATGGAGGCAATTCCGTAGCCATTCTCTACTCTTGTACAGACTCGAAGACATGTCCTAGAAACACCCTCAAGGTTACAGGAGTTTGGTGCACAGAAACTAACGTTAGGGACTACTGAAGTTCAGTGAGGACTTTGTCTCAGTTCAGCACTTGACAGAGAAGGCTGGCGGCCATTTAGTGGCCAAGGAGGAACACCGTCCACGCTTCTGCACCGGCGACAAAAACGCTCGCGCGTGGGTCACAAGACCTGGCTCGGGGCATCCTCAGGGTTCCCTCAGGTCGGACATGGGTTTCAACTCCCGCCTGGGCGGAGGAGGCCCAGACCCACAAAGACACTGGTGCAGAACGCTCCAGAGAAGAGTGCTGTCCTTCGCGTATGGATTCCCCGAGCCCCGCCTCTTGCCTCAGTTTCCCCACCAGCTCTGGCTCTGTCCTGGAAGGGCTATTGTTCAGTATCCCCCTGCCTGTGCATTTTGTCCTTGACTCCAGAACTCAGTTCCTGGAAACCTCAGGATACCTTCACTTTTCGTTTTTTGTTTTATTGAAGAAAGGACTGTATTTTCTACTGTGCTTATCTAGTAAACATTTTACAGTTTGTTTTTTTTTTAACTGAGCTAGTATATTTTTGAGAGAGGGCAAGCGCGTGCACAAGCAGGGGAGGGGTAGGGAGAAGGAGAGGCAGAATCCCAAGCAGGCTCCGCGCCATCAGCACAGAGCCGGATGCGGGGCTCGAACCCACCAACCGTGAGATCACGACCTGAGCCGAGATCGAGAGTCAGCCGCTTAACCAACTGAGCCCCCCAGGCGCCCCTGAGCTGGTATTTTTATTAGGATGGCTTTTGCTTGCATGGGCTCTATCTATCCCGACCTCATTTTCCCTGAGCCCTATTCCTTTTTTCTGTGCGGTCTGGAAGGTCCCACGTTTCTTCAGGAATACATAGCTGAGTTGCAATGTTGTCTCTGTTGAGTAGCAAAGGTGGTTTTAAAATCTAAAGACTACGCATCTGAACCCTCTCCTCTGCCCCACTACTGATCTCGCTTTTTACCGTAAACATCACTGCTGTCTCTGACTTGTTTTTTCCAGTGAAAAGAATGAACTGGTGAGAAGGGGCGGGCTGAGAAATCTTTTCTCCTGCTGAGTGGGCCTGGAATAAAATTTTATCACTTTTCTCCAGGACTCTGGCAACGGTCAGAAATAATTTCTCGCTACCTGTGCTGAACGGCAGGCCAAAGTCAAGACGAGTTTGTGACTGCATTTACATTCAATTCCGGCACTTAATAGCCCCGACATAAAGAAGGTATAGAAATGGAGAAAGACCGCAGATTCCAAAACACATGGCGGTCATATTCATCTAGGGTTGTGTGTCGTTTCCACACACACCACAGTTTTCTCTGAGAATTTCCCAGTCAGAAAAAGTCCTTGACATTATTTTCACTTCTTACCTTTATCCAGATTTCCAGGAGATACAGCATTTAAATCACCAAACTGCAAAACAATAGTCATGTGGGCAACAGTTATTAACAGGTAGAATAAAATAACCTTCTATCACTCTGAGGCAAAAACGCCACGGTAGGACTTTTTAAAACTGTAAACCAGTGACCATTTTGATCTCTAACTACACGGGTCACCTAATTTTCCAATCAAACTTGTCGAATCTGAACAGTTTTCAACTGTGTCACAATTTAGCTGTCTGCCTTGGCCTCTTTGCAAAGGATGACAATTTCTCTCTGCCTTCTGTGCTTCGTTTTACTTTTCATTATTATTTCAACTGAGCAGTGAAGAAATAGGGGCCTGGCTGGCCTGCAGATGACGGATGTGGTGGGATAAATTTGGAAATTTGGTGACGGAGGGCAGATCAGCTCCACCCCCATGGCCAGTCCAAAAGTTCCCCGGGGAGGCAACATGACAGAAACTTGGTCCAGCTGCTTGGCTGAACTCTTTCTTTAAAGCTTTCATTAACAGAAATAAAAAGCATAGTGGGAACCCCAAAGTGTAAAGTGTTCATTTTTTAAAAAAATCTCAGAGACTTCTCTTGTAACTTGATGTTTGATAGCAGGGTCCCATCTTTAGAAAGAAAGGATGTGTCTGTTACCAATGCAACAAGAAAGACCTTAAAACAAAATGGCACCATTAATAACCTTCGGCTTAGATTTTATTTTCTGTCCTGGTTCGAAAGCTTAACTAAAGTAATAAAACTGACCTTATTTTGCAAACATACACACACACTTTTCCCCCTTAACCTACACGTGTATTATTCTTCATAGTAGCTATCGTGGGAGCGTTTACACTTATTCCGAGGTCCAAGGCTCTGGAATTCCTTTCACGATCGAGTTCAAGAGTTAGTTTATGCATCGTTCAAGAAAGCCCATCTTGTGATTTTACATCCAATTGTGACTGCAGATAACGCTCCAAACTGTAGTGATTGCCAGAGGTCCTGGGATGATTTCTGATTACTCACTAAAAAGCAAATTCACCTCTGTCACAATTCAGGATATTCAAAATAATATGTCGTGTTACTGTTATTCCTTAGCAGTTCAGAGATAGTTTAAAAAGAGGCATTCCACAGCATGTGGAGCTATGGCAGCATTATTGGCACAAGCGTGTAGTCTTCCTAGGTGACTGCTTTGAAGGGGACAAGGGCCTCCTGGATCCATAACTCCAAGAATCTGTCTTTGGGAAAAGCGTCCCATTACTTTATGGCTACATCCTGTTGGGCAACAGATATAGAATGATCAACACCGAACTGTGGTTTGGGAGTTGTTCCTGATCACGTGGTAGTCTAAATAAAAATCACAGTTTAGATTATGTAAAATGTCTTCAATTAAAGAATCTAAGCAACAAAAACAAAATCAATGGGCCTCTTCATCTATTTTTGGTGTTATTTAAATATTTTAGAACTAAAAACAGAATGCCCAAAGCTGAAGGATCCTTTATAAGTTATTTCTAACTGATGCAACACAGTAAGGTTTATACATCTTTTAAATGAATGCTTAATGACACTTAAGATCCAATTCTGGAAATATGTTGCAGAGAGGAGTCTTAAACATACCTCTATAACCTCTAAAATGTGAATATTCCTCGGGGCACATGCAACAATAGCCAAATTGTGGAAAGAGCCCAAATGTCCATCAACTGATAAGTGGATAAAGAAGATGTGGTTTATACACACAATGGAATACTACCTGGCAACGAGAAAGAATGAAATCTGGCCATTTGTAGCAACGTGGATGGAACTGGAGGGTATTATGCTAAGTGAAATAAACCAGGCAGAAAAAGACAGATATCATATGTTTCCACTCATATGTGGAACTTGAGAAACTTAACAGAAGACCATGGGGGAACGGAAGGGGGGAAAACAGTTTCAAACAGAGAAGGCGGCAAACCGTAAGAAACTCTTAAAATTTTTTTTTATGTTTATTTATTTTTGAGAGAGAGACAGAGCACAAGTGGGGGAGGGACAGAGAGAGAGAGGGAGACACAGGATGTGAAGCAGGCTCCAGGCTCCGAGCTGTCAGTCCCGAGTCTGATGTGGGGCTCGAACCCACGAACCACGAGATCGTGGCCCGGGCTTAAGTTGGACACCCAACCGACTGAGCCATCCAGGCACCCCAAGAAACTCTTAAATACAGAGGATAAACTGAGGGCAGGAGAAGAGGGGAAAATGAGTGATGGGCACTGAGGAGGGCACTTGGTAGGGGGAGCCCTGGGTGTTGTATGTACGCGATGAATCATGGGAATCTACTCCCGAAGCCCAGAGCGCACAGCGATATCTGTATGTTAGCTAACTTGACAATAAACTATATTTAAAAATAAATAAGTAAACGAATGAAATGTGAATATTCCATTTGTTTTCAAAAAAATCTCAAAAGGCTGCCTGACACTAAATTATTATTGCCATTAGTAATTAATAGTCTCACACAAAGTGGCTGACACCAAACTCTGGCCGCATCTGGAATTCTTCTTCCAAGGAACCTGCTTTTAAGTTGCTGTTTAGCTGGAAGCACAGCAACTTCCTTCATGTAAAGGTTTCCCTCTGAAAGTTTCTGCTTAACCCGAGTGAATGCATTCGGTTATTCAGGATGCTAAAAATCACCACGGCAACCAGTATTTCCACGACTGCTGTGGTCCTTCATAAATAAACACGTGCCAACTAAATACTCTGGGCTTGTGCCCCTGCGGGGTGCTGAACACGGTACAAGTAATCTCAGGGACACCGTTGGCGCCTCTCGTGTCTCTGGGATCAGTAACAAAGTCGCACGTGATGGCAAACGGAGAGAGTGGGTTCAAAATAAAAATCTTGTGAGGAGAGGTAGGATTTTGGTACCCGATACAGAAGAAGGGGAAGCTTTTTAACATGCATTTCCCATGCGAGGAAAGAATTCACATGCGATTAAGGAAAAAACCACGAGACAGGCCGTGATTTCCGGAATCGGTGCATTCACGCGTTAGTCAACGAACATTTACTGGAAGCTTCCTGCGTGCTAAGCACTGTGCCAGCCAGTTCCAGTCTATCCCCTCTTTCTGGAGGTGAGGGTCAGAAGTTGTTTATATCAGGAAGGGCAGGTGGTTTAGTCAACGAAAGGAAGCAGCCTAGGACAGCTGAGATGGTTTTAGAAGCATGGGCATCTCAGAAAGGGAAGTCAGCGGTGGGGGGTTGGGGGTGGGCCGCAGGGTCAGGGCGGCTGGACGGCAGAACATGAACGATGATGGCAGAGAAGACTGGGAGTCGGCATAAGGAAGACAGCGTCACAGATGGGGGACAGATGACAGGCGCCGAGACTAGACCGGCACAAACCAGAAACAAAAGAGAAGGAAGACTCGGAAGGATCTGGATGAACAAAATGGAGGTTCGCCAGAAAAGCACGGAGGTTGCCGTCAAGGTTTAGCTCCAGCAATTGGGAAAATGACGGAGCTTGCCAAGTTCCCTTGCTGCGCAGGGCACTGGAGGGGCCACTGCCTGGCAAGGTGACATCTCAGAGCTTATAAAGTACTTTCACGGCTCCGTGTATGATAGGCTTTCTTTCAAATATCATGACCTCCATATCACTTCCTCAAGATGGTTTCCTCAGAGAGGCTTTTCCTGACAGGTCTATCTGAGCGTCTCCTTCCCTGTCGGGTTGAATCGCTTCCTCCCAAGCATCTACAACACCCAACACTTACATTTCTTCCTCTTCTAACATCTGACTTCCCAACCCGAGTGCCGGGGCTGTGAGGGCAGGGGCCTTGTTGTTTGTCCTCTGCGTAAATGGGTCCCAGGATCTACCTCGGCACCTGATAGATACCAAAGGTGGACTACATACCAAACGAATGAATTTGCTTCTTCAGTGCAGCCTCAGAGAAAACCGACGAATTTGGCACGGTAGAGAGCTTAGGTTGAATCTTACCGCTATTAAAAACAAGGAACTGGGGCGCCTGGGTGGCTCAGTCGGTTAGGCGGCCGACTTCGGCTCAGGTCATGATCTCGCGGTCCGTGAGTTCGAGCCTCTCGTTGGGCTCTGTGCTGGCAGCTCAGAGCCTGGAGCCTGTTTCAGATTCTGTGTCTCCCTCTCTCTCTGCCCCTCCCCCGTTCATGCTCTGTCTCTCTCTGTCTCAAAAATAAATAAACGTTAAAAAAAATTTACTTAAAAACAAGGAACTGATTTGTAGAACGTTTGTAGGAAACGTGGTGGTGGGGGATAGGAGACCACATATTCTGACCCTCACTTTAGGAATCTGAGACATAGCGGGAGAGGGTAAAGGGGGAGGAGGGGGAGAAAAAGGGGGAGAGAGAGAGAGAAAAAAAGAGAGTGTGCACGATCCATACATGGAGGAAGGAAAATAAATTAAGGGGTTTAAGATGAGCTCTGGGGTTAGAAAGCATCTGGCCTTTGATGTACACAGGAAAAAAATCCTGCCAGCAGAGTGACAAATAGGGAAGGAGAAACCGAATAGAACAACAGGACGGATATCTGGTGTTTCAGGAAGAAAAGCCTCCTATCCCAGAAACCACCTCCTCCGGGTCCTGACAAGGGTCCTAATGACGCACGCCCTCCTGGACAAGAGACGACTGACCACTGTGGTGGGAGGGCGAGACCACAACTTCATGAGGAGGCTGGTAATGGCTGGGAAGCATAAGTGGGCGACACACAGGCAGGACCCTTGAGGGAGGGCCCGGGTGCGACCCTGACTTGCGGCCCATCGGCTGAAGAGTGGTTCATCACGGGACCAGTGGGTCTGCCGCCTGTCCTGGGGCACGGGCACCATGACCGGAACCGGCCACAGCTCGGGAGATGCAGCCCACACGGGCCCCGAAGAGCCCACTACCCGTTAGATCCAGCAGCTGGCAACTCTCCAGAGGGAGGGGGGTAAGGCGTGTGTGCTAACACTTGGAAACTGAAGCAAGGCGGTGGAGGTCAGGGTGCAGACGGCCAACAGGCAGGAGCCCAGGCGGGGCCACAAAGCAGAGACTGGGGACAGGAGTCAGGGACAGAAGGAAAGCTTTGAGATGAGGACTTCACCCGTGGGAACACGTTCCCTGCTGGAAGAGTTTCCCCCCATCCTGGGGGGGAGAGGATTAGGGAGTCATCATAACCACATCCTCTTGGGCAGGCAGGTAAGCATCCCCTCTAGAAACCTCGTCTTCCTAGAAAATCCGTCGGTATGTCCAGACTTACAGGTAGACAGACACAATCACACACAAACATGTTCTATTCGCTCATTGAGATATCAGCCGTCCACGTCTAAAACCACCCTGTTAACTAAGCTACTATGCTCAAAAGAGCCTAACTGATTTTCTGGTGGCATCGGATTATGAAAACATAGGATCTAGAACAACGGTTGGCAAACGTTTTTTCTCAGTGGAAGGTCAGACAGGAAGTATCTCAGGCTCTGTGGCTCTGTCGCAACTACTCAACTCTGCCACTCTAGGGCAAACACAGCCACAGACAATAGGTATGTGAAAGGGTGCGACTGTGTTCCAGTAAAACGCTAGTTACCAAAATGGACGATGGGCTGAGCCCTGGCTGGAAGAAGAGCCCGTAAACTTCTTAAGGTCCCCAGTTTACAAACAGTGAAGGGAATGGAAGGTTTTATCTTTAAGGAAGGTGTGAAGACGTTGGTCACAGGAAGGATATGGAACCAGAAAGAGCTAGCACGGCTCAGGCACATGGGCATCAACAGGTCCCAAGGAAAGAAACTGAGGTCGACTTTTAAGGATGGAAGTCCGTCAAAGGACTAATTTTCCTCTTTTTTCTCTGGAGGCTTGCACGGAGAGACAGAGATGGACCAAGGTTGGTGTTTAATTGTGGGAATTAGTGGGGGAAAAGGGAATATGTCTGGGACATGAGAAAATATTACAGGGAAGGTTGCAAGGAAAGAGATGTGGGCAAAGGTGACACGTGTTAGTAGTTCAGATGGGGTGGGGGGAGTCTCCCTAATGGGAAGCTTGTCCCAATTTGGACCAGTAGGTGAAGGTGTGAGGAGATAGTCTGACAACGTCATGTTCTCCACTGGTGAAAGCCAATGGAGACTAGTTTCTGGTGAGGACGATTTCCAGGGTGGAGTCATCAACGGAGAAATGACGTACATATGTTGAGGAGAGGAGGAAGTAAGAATAAATAATATACTGAAGGAAAAGCCTAGAACACCTAAGTCATGACTGATTTTACTCAGAATATAGCTTTCTACGGTAGTAATTTCCTATGGCTGCTGTCACAAAATGCCACAAACTCAGTGGCTAAAACAACACAGGTTTATTATTTTCTAACGCGGGAGGTCAGAATGCCAAAATGGGTCTCCCTGAGCTGAAATCAAGCTGTTGGCTGCATTGTATTTATTTCTGCAGATTCTAAGGGAGAGGTGTTTTAGGGTTTTTTCCCCCTTTTCCAGCTTCCTGAGGCTGCTTACAACCCGTGGCATGTGGTATGCCCCCCTTCCATTCTGAGAGCCAGCCACAGTTTATTTCTTTGGGGGGGGGG